CGGCGGCCCCCTTGGCCCGGGTAAACGGCAGCTCGGGCGGCGCCCCAAACCCTGTTCTCGTTTCACGGCGAAAAGTGAAACGCTTAAGGGCTTTTAGGCACCCCAGTTCTTTTTTTTTTTCCCACTAAGAGATACATGCTGTGTTATTCAAGGAGGTTTCCCCGCTGCCTGCGAACTCGCGGTTGCTGCTTCCCCAGCAGCTTGGCGGAAGCGGCGCACCTTGCCGAGGAGCGGGGCGGGGATGCGCAGCCCGCTCAGCTCCTCCGTGATGCTCCTTTTCTCGGGATAGCGGGAGATGAGGCTGCAGAGCGTCAAAAAGGCAGGACTAAAACCGCACAGTTCCTGCTCCCGCAGCAGAACTATAGTTAGGAAGAGTCTGGGGATTAATTTTGTAAGATTTACTACTTGGTACCTCACCCATTTAGAGAACGTTTTCTCTTGTTAGGTTGATTATAGCCACACACCGCCACTGCAGCTCAAATATTTAAGAAATATACCGTGCAGTTGTTATGCAGTCTCTTATTGACCAGCAGGACAGTTAGTAACTAGTGAAACTGGAGAGGCAGAGTCAGGTGTCAGGCAGCAGGTCTCTCCTTTCTGTCTGAAGGCACGGGAAAGACTAATTTGTAGCTTTTTGACAATCCCTCCTATCTCCAGATTAACCAAATTTCTTGCCAAAAATTCTGTATTTTGCAGTAAGCGGTCATGAGAAAGAAACCTCAAATAATCCCCCAAGCAAAAATGGAACTCAGGAGCACTAATGCAGTGCTCTAAGTTGTCATATGGTCCCTTTGCTGTAACAACCCTCCAGCTTAATTATTTATAGCACTGACTATTTTCAGCAGAAAGCCTAAAAAATTCCTCATCTACAGTTTGGTAATTAGGGAAGCTGTTCCCTCTCCTTAGAGCTAGTTAATGAATTAATAAGACTATGTAATGAGCAGAACCTTCCCTTTCACGTAAGAAATAGCAGATGTTGTTTTATTTGATACTCCTCCTTTTTAGGAGTTAGGTATCTTGGTAGAGCATCATAAGCACTGAGTGCAACTTGCACTGTACAGAATTCTCTGTAGGCAAAAGTTCCACTAGGAGTTTGAACAGCAAGTTGATGAAACTCTTTATTCATTTACAACAAATACATAATATTGAACCTAATTCATTTCTTGTTCCTTGGTAGTCCAGTACAGCTAGCCAATGGTTGTTTCTGAACATTTTTGCAAGAGGGTAATAGTCTTCTGACAGAATCACAGACCGCTGCTGAAGTAGGATTATTATGAATGTACTTCTTCACAATTAAAACAATCAAAGACTCACTTCTGAAAAAAACTTATCCAAGAACAGCTTGCTTTTGGAGTTCCATCTATTAAGGAGAGAAGAGCACGAGTAAGAACATAGCTAGATTTTCTTCATGGCTGTTACCAGCTGTTCAGTCAGGAAAGCAAACATCACTCTGTTGCTCCTCTATGCAGCGTCAAAGGACTGCTAGCTTAAAGTGGCTAAATGTGGATCTCCTTCAGCCATTCTCGCACGTTAATCTTCTTTTCTCATAAAAGGGCATTTCAAAAAGCCTGGCCTAATAATCCTTCCTTAAAAGGCTAAATAAATCCCATGTGGAAAAAAAAAAAAAAAAGGTGAGTTTGAACTGTGTCAATCTAGAGAAAAGTTCTTGCTTTAAGCAAAGCTATGCTCTGCATACAGTACCAGGACATTTCAGAGACAGAAATGAGCAAGCTTTTTTCCATAGTTATTTTGGCATGGAGGGAATGTCTTGACTTCTTAACATTTAAAAATCCTCAGTATTTAGGAATACTGTCAATATATTTACAAACCACCAGCTGTCTCCTAACACTTTAACAGTGATGCAACTCTAACAGAGTCATTTCCTATGTTTCTATTTACCAAAATATGTTCTTTGGCTACAGAGTATTTCAGGAAAATGTATACAGTCTACGTTACCAACAATCAATGCTTTCCGTGCTTTAATCCCCTCTTTCATCCTCATAAGCAGCTGAAGAGGTTTATAAGTACAATTCCATCTATGAGTTGATAGATTTTTAGTCAAAGCAGCAGCAAAGTGTTTACATTTAATATTCACAACAGAGGAATAGCACTGATTTGAGACAGGTTTCTACCCGTTTTTTTACGAAGGACTCTGAAGTAACTACAGGATAACAGCTGTATACAGTTAGTAAGGATATCAAAAGATGTCAGCTCAGTTTTACTCATAAATCCATTCATGAGCACAGCTTCTGTAATCAACGAGTTCTTCAGGAGTGAACCATAGATTGATCTCTGTCTCAGCACTTTCTACAGAATCACTTCCATGAATGATGTTTCTAAAAAAAGAAAAGGTAGTTATAAAAGTAATAATCTTTATGAAACTCAAAGCAAAGAAAACATCCTTTTTGAAGTAGTCTCCATTATGGAGACAAGTCATGAGTAACTATAAAGTAGCAATTGCCACCAAGTTTATAGTCCAAGCTTTGCTTATTTTTGTCCATGGGGAAGAAAGACTACATCTCTACTTGCATCTTTAGATACTAACATTGCACTGCCCTGGGGAAGGTCGGCTCTGTGCGTACGATGAAGGAGGATGGAGCAGAGTTCTTACATGTATCATGACATAGCACTGGACCTTTAATGTCTTTAAATGCTTTCAATAATTTCAAAATATACCTGCCAACTTGAACGCAGAGGTCACCACGAATAGTGCCAGGCTTTGAATCGATTGGATTAGTTTCCCCCAGCATCACTCTTCCAGTCTTAACCACATTAAGACCTTCCCACACCTTTAAAAAAAAAAGATTATAAAATCTTAGTGGTAACTAAAGCAGCAAGAGTTAATACCATTCAGAACTACACAACACTGTCCATCATGTTATAGCACAAATCACCATCTGAATGTTCCTAATAGCAAGATGTAGTTTATCTCCAATTTTTCCAATTCCCCTTTCCCCCGTCCCTCTCTGCACAATACCCCTCTCCACCAAGAATGGGAAGGTACCAACTTTAAATCTCAGTATGGTAAACAGCCTTCCAAAGCTTTCTGATCACTAGAGATCAAGACCTCCAGCTCAACTACTGCACAAATATACTGTCAAAGAAAAAAGCCTTCTAAGGAACCTAGACTGAAAAAGATTTTCAAAATTACTATAAGAGTAGAATAAAAATATTCCACCATCATTTTTTGCTTGCTTAATACATGGCATTTATTAGTGGGGTTTTTCTGGTACACACGTTTAATGTTTCTCAAGGTCCCAGGTGTGGTTTCCCCTTTTCCCCTAACTTCTTCCTCAATATACTCACTCATAGGAGAAAGCTTAAAAGAAGGGGAAAAAAGGAGTTAGAAGTACCTCTTGCTAGTTATAGTATTTGAATCTATAGTTAACACAACTTTATTTGGAAAGCAAGACAATTAAACACTATTTTTCTTAGCTGAGCTTCATTCTTAAAAACTCACCATAGCAACAACAGGTCCAGAATGCATGTACTGCACCAGACCATCATAGAATGGCCGGTCTTTCAGGTCAATGTAGTGTTCTTTTAGGAGGTCTTCAGAGGCCTGCATGAGGGTGGGGGGGAGGGAGGAAGCTTACTGTAAGAATTTAAAAACATATTGAAGTCATACAGATTAACAGAGCATTATTAGTCTTAAAACACGCAGGCACTTCAAAATTCAGCATTTCTAGCTCTTTCCTAGAAACACATCTGGTATTTGGAATTTGAACTGTTCATTTTACCACAGCTCAAACTCAGAGAAGTATTTTTTACCAATATAGATAGGTACATGAACTGATATCTGTTGCAGATTTTCAGAGCAATTTCTTAGGCATAGGATTCCCCGAAAAGAATATTCTCTTCGGACTAAGGACATCAAGTTACTAAAAATAGCATGCTTAGGATGTCTAAAGCATTTAGCCAGAGCTAGGCACTGGAACTTCTCCAAAATATCCAAAGCCTTCATCAAAAATATTAAGTTTTATTTCTTCTGAAGACTATCATTCTATTATCATTCTAATATGCTACTCTATTTTACAGTTGCAGTTTCTATGAAAAAAAAAAAAGAGACATACAAATTAAGGAAGGCTTACGTGTATTAGTTTCATAGCCACTAGTTTCAATCCTTTCTGTTCAAACCGCTTGATGATTTCTCCCACCAGCCCCCGCTGGACTCCATCAGGCTTGATAGCAATGAAAGTGCGCTCCGAAATAGCGGCCATTGTCCTAACAGAGGAGAGAAGGATATTCGTTATTCGGGGACCAGCAGGCGAGGTGTAACAGCAGCTACTACAATAACCGAACCGGCCCCG